TATATAATCATTAAGATTCTTCCGAATGAAGGAATTACGAATTCTTATGACAAACCTCATCAAGAAAACCTGGCCAAAATACTTAAATTTAGTAATCCAATGAATATTGTTGAAAAATATGTTATTTATACATTTATAATAACTTTTAGAATGAAAACGGGATTTCAATTTAAAATAGAATCTACAGAAATAACTGAAAAGCAAAGAGATGAGATTAGAAGCCTTTTGTGTGGATTAGTTCAATATTCGTATATATAGAAAAAGTGTTGGAAGATGCATTTGTAAAAACACTATCGATATGTTATATTCAGTATATATTTCTTGTTAGCTAGAAAATATATTTAATGCAAATTTATAATATTACTAATAAATGTTAAAAGAGAAATCCAAAATAAGCATTGAATACATGGATACCTGAAGATATTAATATTTAATTCAAATTTGATCGAACATACATAGCTATTTACAACAGTATCATGTTTATATTTCATGTATGTGTTATTATAAATATTTTTAGTATTAAAGGTTGTAATCCTAGTAAAAATAGAAAATATGGAGGATTATCAATTAAAACAGCCCTTTTTTACATGTAAATCATTTTGAGTAAATCAGGTTTAAAAAAAAATACAATAAACAAGATTTTTGATCTAAAAATAACTTTTCACGGTTCTAGAAATTCCAGAATATACCGGTCGGTAACTCGTAACTTTAATTTATTTTAGATTAATATCGTTAGTGTACGATCGATAAAATTTTCATTACGTCGTGTATATCGTTCTTGTCAGTTTTTTTTGTTTTTTGTTACTAACAGTTAAACCTCATTCATTTAAAAAACAATTATATATAAATGTATAAAAAAAACATTTTCTAGCAAACCTTGTAGACTTTTACTAATCTTTCAGAATTGGTTGAACTTTCTTGTGGATCTTTTGTTGGAGAACTTTCGTGTGGTTTTCGGTGTTTTTGAAGAACTTTCTCATGGACTTTCCTCTTGTCTTTCAACGTTTTTGGAGAACTTGCAGACTTTCCTATTGTCTTTCGACGTTTTTGGAGAACTTGCAGACTTTCCTCTTGTCTTTCGGCGTTTATTAGTAAGTGAACTTTCTCCTGATCTTTCGACATTTTCTAGTACCTTGTAGACTTTTACTAATCTTCGTAATTGGTTAAACTTTTTTGTGGATTTTTTGTTGGAGAACTTTCTTGTTGTTTTTGGTAGTTTTGAAGAACTTTCTTGTGGACTTTCCTCCTGTCTTTTGATATTTTTGGAGAACTTTCTTGCAGACTTTCTCTTGTCTTTCGGCATTTATTAGTAAGTGAACTTTTCTTCTGATCTTTTGACTTTTCTAGTAAACCTTGTAGACTTTTACTAATTTTTTGAAATTGGTTGGTGAACTTTCTCGTAGATCTTGTGGTTTTTGGTGTTTTTATGAACTTTCTTGTGGACTTTCCTCCTGTCTTTCAACGTTTTTGGAGAACTTTCTTGCAGACTTTCCTTTTGTCTTTTAGCGTTTATTAGTAAGTGAACTTTCTTTTATTCTTTTGACATTTCTAGTGAACATTGTAGACTTTTACTAATCTTTCGGAATTGGTTAGTGAACTTTCTCGTGGATCTTTCATTTGTTGGAGAACTTGTGGATTTTCATATTTTTGGTGTTTTTGAACTTTCTTGTGAACTTTCCTCCTGTCTTTCAATAATTTTGAAGAACTTGCAGACTTTCCTCTTGCCTTTCTGTATTTTTTTTTGAAGACTTTTCTTGTAGACTTTCCTCTTGTCTTTTCGGCGTTTAGTTGGTGAACTTTCTTGGTGAAACTAGAGAAATGTTAACAAGAAAGTCCAACCATTTTCTTGTGGATTTCTCTCTGGTCCTTCAGCATTTTTTTTATAGAGGATTCTTTTGTGGATTTCCCTCTGATCCTTCAGCATTTTTTTTTGGAGAATTTTCTTGTAGATTTTCCTCTGGTCCTTCAGTAGTCTTCTGGTAAATTTCTTATGATATTTTGATATTTTTTTTTTGGAGAATTCTTTTTGTGGATTTTCTTCTGGTCCTTTGCCGTTTTTCTGGCGAATTCCTTGTGGATATCCCTTTAGTCCTTCGGTGTTTTTCTGGCGAATTCTTTGTAGATTTCCTCTGGTATTTTGGCATTTTTTTTTGGAGAATTTTCTTGTGGATTTTCCTCTGGTCCTTTGGCAGTCTTCTGGTGAATTTCTTGTGGATATTTGACTTTTTTTTGTTTGGAGAATTCTTTTTGTGGATTTCCTTCTGGTTCTTTGACATTTTTTTGGCAAATTCCTTGTAGATATCTCTTTAGTCCTTTGGCGTTTTTCTGGCGAATTCCTTGTAGATTTTCCTTTGGTATTTTGGCATTTTTTTTTGAAGAATTCTCTTGTAGATTTCACTCTGGTCTTTCAGCATTTTTCTGGTGAATTCCTTGTGGATATCCTTCTGGTTCTTTGGCATTTTTTTTTTTGGAGAATTCTCTTGTGAATTTCTCTCTGGTCCTTCAGTGTTTTTCTGGCGAATTCCTTATAGATATCCTTCTGGTTCTTTGGCATTTTTCTGGTGAATTTCATGTGGATTTCCCTCTGATATTTCAGCATTTTTTTTTTAGTGAATTCTCTTGTAGATTTTTCTATTGTCTTTCAGCATTTTTCTGGCAAATTCCTTGTGGATATTTCTCTGGTCTTTCGGCATTTTCTGGTTCTTGCATGTACTTGCAGATGCATACAACGTTTTTGTCAATAAATATGCTTATTAAGATTGTTATTATTGTATTATAGATACAAGTGTGCATAAGTTTTTTTTTAACAATATAAAATTTTAATTAGATTAATTTTTTTTCTGCATAAATTGCATTATTATTGTTG